TTTGCGAAAGCCCTTTGGAAAGTCCTCCTCCTCCTCCTCCTCCTCCTCCTCCTCCTCCTCCTCCTCCTCCTCCCCCTCCTCCTCCCCTCCTCCTCCTCCTCCTCCTCCTCCGCCTGCTCCTCCCCCTCCGCTGGCGTCCTCCGAGCATCGCGACGGCCGTTTCCTCTGTGTCGGGGCTCCTGGCAGCTCGCGTCGGGCCGCTGGAGCGGCGGCGACGGCCACGACCGACGGCAATGGCGACGACGGTATCGTCGTGACACGAATCGCGACGGGTGGCATTTCCTTTTGGGGGTGATTTGCCCTTTGGGGGGTCCACGTTTTGAATCATTCACGACGTCGCAGAACTGAGAGAATCGGTCGGTCAGAGAGGCTGGCCTCCGTCGGCGATGCGGCGGCGACCTTCGACGACGGCGGGGGTAAGATCCCAGAGGGTTCGTCGGTGGAGCGTTCGGCCGCAGGGATCGCAGGATGAACTACCCGTCGGCCTTTGAAATTGGGTATTCATGGGTTCCCAGATCCCAATCTACTGCAAGCGCTTTCCGACTCCAAGGATCGATGTGCTTGTGTTGTGTGTTCATTATTCGTCGGGAGGGCCTGGACCCACTTTACTTTATCCGCCTTCCTACGTCATGCGTGTACCTAATGCTTCCGACCGGCGTGTGCAGTAGGACAGGCTCGGCCCGGGAGGATTGCCTTGTTGTTTACAGTCTACCCGCATCCTCAGGATGGACCAGTTTCCCAAGGGTACCCTGGCATCCTTGCCCGTTCGGCCCATCCTTGGCGACTTTCGCAGGCCAGCCCCGCTCGAAAAACGACAACCTGGCCCTCTAAGGCCCGTGCATCCTTAACTACTGCGCAGCCTCATTATACGGGTTGACTAGACAGGCCAAGAGGGGAGGGGGCAGGCGTCTCCGATGGCAGATTATGTTGTTATTGTTGTAGTTGTTGTTGCTGTTGTTGGTGCTATTGTTGTTGTTGGTGTCGTTGTCATTGTCGTTGTTGTTGCCGTCGTTGTTGTGATTGTGGTTGTCGTTGTTGTGGTTGTGGTTGTGGTTGTGGTTGTGGTTGTGGTTGTTGTGGTTGTTGTGGTTGTGGTTGTGGTTGTGGTTGTGGTTGTTGTGGTTGTGGTTGTGGTTGTGGTTGTGGTTGTTGTTGTTGTTGTTGTTGTTGTTGTTGTGGTTGTTGTTCTGCGGATTGCTGTGGCTTCTCCTTGCATTGCTTGCGGATTGCGCTGGCACTGTCCCGTCGGAGCGCGCGGCCTGCAGCAGCTCGGTGTGTCCCTCCGGGTGCCCTCCCAGCGGGAACCCGTCAGCTTGTCGCACGAGGTCCGAACCGAGTTGCCCGCCTGCGGGGATCGGCGAATCAATCTGTCTGCCGGGCACGTTACCTCGGCGGCGGCTCCTCGGAGAGGTCGCCCACAGCATGGGGGCCACCCGTGGTCTCTTCTCCTCGGTGTGCGCTGGCGACGAGTCCGCAGGGTCCAGCTCCAGTGGTTGGGCGCGCCAGTGGGGCCGATGCGACTTTTGGCAGGCAGGTCTGGCCGGCCACTCCGGTCGAAAGTCGGAATCAACGTCATGGTTTCACGCAGTGGCGAAGCGCCCTGGCTCGCCTATAGCCCTACCAAACAATGTTCTAAGGACTTATTGTGCTTCCCACGACATGTTCTTAGAACATGTCTGGCTGGAAGCGTCTTGTTTGACCACAATGTTCTAAGAACATTGCCTGTGTTCTAAGAACATATTTGGGTTCTAAGAACATTTCGCGGTAGGACTATACCAATGCCGGGACGGTCGGTCCCTGCCCAATGATTGGAGATTCGGACCAGCTCGAGCAATACTTGGGGGATACGGCCCACCAGGTGGAGGGGTGGCGGCCAGCGTCTGTGTTGAGGAGGGATTCAGAGGGGGATTGCCCGTCCAGATGCTTTCTGTATGGTTGACCGATGCGCACTGGTGCATCCAGCCAGCCCACTCTGAAACACATCCAGGCCATCACATATCTGACATATGCCAGCCCTCTCTGTGACGGGGCGACCACCCGAGATAACCCAGGAGCGAACAAAGAAGTACGCATGCATGAATGTTCGTGGGTCCCAAGAGCATGCATTGCGCGAACCCTCGTAGTACAAAGTTGCCCTGGTGGTCTTGGGGGCCGTATTCATGCACGTGGCTGGGCGCGTGTGTGTTTCGTGCGCTACTTATTATCGCGAGCCATCAGCGCAGCCGAGAGCACACGCCTGCGGAAGTCATTGATGTAGCGTGCCTTGGAGGCGACCGTGACCGCCGCCGCTGAGCCAGCCCACGGCGCACAAGCAGCGTCAAGGCCTGCGATCCCCTCCGCAGCACCGGAGGGAGGAGCCAGCATTAGAGGAACAAAAACGGCATAAGCATACAGTCGGGGCGCTGAAGAAGGAACCCTCTTCGTTGGGGAGGGGCTCGGTGTTCCTTGATTGTTTCAAAGTTTGCCTCGGGTTTTCCTGAGGTTTCCCATGGGAAATCGAGGTTGAACTTACGGGAAAAAGGGGCCTCGTTCCTTATATAGGGTTCCTTAGGTCAACGCCTCGACTGTAATCTTTCGGAGGTCCTCGCAGATTCCTTGCATCGGCGAATGGGCCCCCCTTCCCCTGCGCGCTCCGCGTGCCAGGGGCGGCGCCGGAGGCGCCGCCCGAGGGGCCCAGCGTCGGGCCACGACAGCCGCGCGGAGCTCCGGAAGCTTCTGCTTACGTTTTCTGCTGCTCCTCTGGCCGGCGTGCCTGTCCTCGCGCTCGTCGCTTCCTGCATGTTCAGGAGAAGAAAAAAAACACAGACACAATGAATCGTCGCCTCCCCAGAAAATGTGGGAAAAGATGGGACGTGGGAGGGAAGACAAAACAAATCCCAGAAATTCTGGGACAATATGGGGGATCCTGTTATTCGTGTGTCTTTATTTGTGTGTCCTTGGGCCCCTTGACATGTGGCCTTCCGTCAGCCCCTCGCCTCCCCGGCCGGCCTGGGCCCCCACTCGAGGGGGCGCTGGCTCACACACACACACACACACAAGTGGTGGAGGCGGCTCGGGGGCGTGCCCGGCAGGGGTGGCAGAGTGGAAGCCAGGCTCGGGCTGGACGAAAGGGGGGAATAAGGGAAAGGGGGGGTTACGAAATTTGCTGCATGCAGCTGGTTTCGGCCTCACCGAGGGGCCCATTCCTCGATACATAGCCGCCGCCGGCGCCGGGAGGCTCACACACAAATGGTGGAGGCGGCTCTGGGGCGTGCCCGGCAGCTTAGTGGGCCCTGGAAACGGCAGGGCCGTTTTTTTCCCAACCATCCTGTGTTGTTGGGTCCTCGTTTTGAAGAAACGGTCCCCGCGTTCCTTCTTCCTCCTTCTCCTCGCCCTCCTCCCTCCTGCGTTCGCATGCCTCCCCACCACCCATTTCGGCACACCCCTCACACGTTTCGTGGCCCCATAGGGAGCTCCACCGAAGGCCCCAGTGGCTGCGTTCGCATGCCTCCCCACCACCCATTTCGGCACACCCCTCACACGTTTCGTGGCCCCATAGGGAGCTCCACCGAAGGCCCCAGTGGCAGGGTCCGCATGCCTCCCCACCACCCATTTCGGCACACCCCTCACACGTTTCGTGGCCCCATAGGGAGCTCCACCGAAGGCCCCAGTGGCTGCGTTCGCATGCCTCCCCACCACCCATTTCGGCACACCCCTCACACGTTTCGTGGCCCCATAGGGAGCTCCACCGAAGGCCCCAGTGGCTGCGTTCGCATGCCTCCCCACCACCCATTCGGCACACCCTCACATTTCGTGGCCCCATAAGGAGCTCCACCGAAGGCCCAGTGGCTGCGTTCGCATGCCTCCCCACGTTTCGTGGCCCCATAGGGAGCTCCACCGAAGGCCCCAGTGGCTGCGTTCGCATGCCTCCCCACCACCCATTTCGGCACACCCCTCACACGTTTCGTGGCCCCATAGGGAGCTCCACCGAAGGCCCCAGTGGCTGCGTTCGCATGCCTCCCCACCACCCATTTCGGCACACCCCTCACACGTTTCGTGGCCCCATAGGGAGCTCCACCGAAGGCCCCAGTGGGCTGCGTTCGCAGTCCCCACCACCCATTTCGGCACACCCCTCACACGTTTCGTGGCCCCATCCACCGAAGGCCCCAGTGGCTGCGTTCGCATGCCTCCCCACCCCATTTCGGCACACCCCTCACACCGTCATAGGGAGCTCCACCGAAGGTTTCGTGGCACCCATAGGGAGCTCCACCGAAGGCCCCAGTGGCTGCGTTCGCATGCCTCCCCACCACCCATTTCGGCACACCCCTCACACGTTTCGTGGCCCCATAGGGAGCTCCACCGAAGGCCCCAGTGGCTGCGTTCGCATGCCTCCCCACCACCCATTTCGGCACACCCCTCACACGTTTCGTGGCCCCATAGGGAGCTCCACCGAAGGCCCCAGTGGCAGGCGTTCGCATGCCTCCCCACCACCCATTCGGCACACCCCTCACACGTTTCGTGGCCCCATAGGGAGCTCCACCGAAGGCCCCAGTGGCTGCGTTCGCATGCCTCCCCACCACCCATTTCGGCACACCCCTCACACGTTTCGTGGCCCCATAGGGAGCTCCACCGAAGGCCCCAGTGGCTGCGTTCGCATGCTTCCCCACCACCCATTTCGGCACACCCCTCACACGTTTCGTGGCCCCATAGGGAGCTCCACCGAAGGCCCCAGTGGCAGGGTCCGCATGCTTCCCCACCACCCATTTCGGCACACCCTTCACACGTTTCGTGGCCCCATAGGGAGCTCCACCGAAGGCCCCAGTGGCGCGGTGCCTATGAGAAGAGGGGCCTAGTTTGCGTGCCCCCTCTTTCGTCTCATATCCGTGCGGTACTCGCAGCTGCATATGGTTGGGCCCTTCGCCAGGCTAATTACCGGTTCCATTTTGCCGTTTTTTTGCCGGTTCCGACGCCGATCTTTCACCGGTTCCGTCGCCGTTCTTTTACGGGTTCCCGCTCCAGTTCCAATTTTGGAGACGTTTTTGTTGCCGTTTCTGGTCGTCGTTTTTTTGCCGTTTCCATGTTCAAGGGATTTTTCCCGGAAAGGGCAAAGGCCCAGGGTTCTCTTTTAGTTGGTTTCCCCCCGGTTTTGACGGCTGTAGGGCCGGCGAATTTCTTTTGCGATAAATAACGAGGTCGCGTAGGGCCGGCGAATTAAAAATTGAGGATGTCCCTAGCGAAACGCTTGTTTTTCAGAATTTGTTGAGGATGTCTCGAGCGAAACGCTGGTTTTGCAGAGTTGGGGATGTCTCGAGCGAAACGCTTGTTTTCAGAATTTGTTGAGGATGTCTCGAGCGAAACGCTGGTTTTGCAGAGCCGACCGCGACGCGGAAAAGCACCCCGCGCGCAGGAATTCCGATGATGTTTCGCGCGTGCCGCGTCCCGCGCGCAGGAATTTCGAGGATGTCTCGACTAATTCGTTTGTTTTGCGAGGATTTCCTTGAATTTTGGCAGGATGTCTCGAGCGAAATGCTTGTCTTTCATAATTTGTTGAAGACGTTTCGAGCGAAACGCTGGTTTTGCAAAATTGGGGGATGTCTCGAGCGGGGGCCTCGTGGGGGGCCTCGTGGGGGTCCAGAATTCAGAGGATGTCTCAGGCGAAATGCTTGTTTTCACGTCCCGCTCGCAAGAATTCCGAGGATGTCTCGCGCGTGCCGCGTCCCGCGCGCAGGAATTCTGAGGATGTTGGCAGGATGTCTCGAGCGAAACGCTTGTCCCCAGCACGTTCCGTAGCGCGTCCCCTTGGCACGTCCCGCGGTGCGTCCCCATGGCACGTCCCTTGGCACGTTGCTTGGCGGGTCCCTTGAGACGTTCCGCGTCGCGTCCTCCTGGCATGTCCCCTTGTCAATTAGCTCTGGGGCAGCTACTATGTGTTCAGGCAGCTCGAGCTTAAGATCCAGATCAGTTCGGTCAGGACTCGGATGCAAAGGAGGACTCGATCCACGAAGCTAGAGCACAATCGCGGCATGGCACATCGCAATTCAGCACGGCGCAGCACAGGACAGATTTCGGCACGGTACATCAAGATCGATACACTCAGCATTGCAACTTGGCACGTTCCTTGGCACGTTCCGTGGGGCGTCCCTTGGCGAGTCCCCCTGGCACGTTGCGTGGCGCGTCCCCTGGCACATCCCGTGGCACATCCATTGGCACGTTCCGTAGCGCGTCCCCTTGGCACGTCCCGCGGTGCGACCCCATGGCACGTCCCCTGGCACGCCGCCTGGCGCCATCCCTTGGGACGTTTCGCGGCGCGTCCTCCTGGAATGTTCCCCTGTCAATTAGCTCTTGGGCAGCTACTATGTGTTCAGGCAGCTCGAGCTTAAGATCCAGATCAGTTCGGTCAGGACTCGGATGCAAAGGAGGACTCGATCCACGACGCTGTAGAGCACAATCGCGCCATGGCACATCGCAATTCAGCACGGTGCAGCACAGCACAGCCCTCGGCAGGGTACATCAAGCTCGATACACTCAGCATTGCATGTGCCCGTCACCCAATCAGTTGTCTTTGAAAACGTTGCCATGCGTTACATTTCAATATTCCTTTCCGGGTTCGTGGGTCGATCATGTTTTCGGAAACGGTGAAAAGACGGCCCTGCCGTTTCCGGGGCCCACTAAGCCCCGCAGGGGTGGCAGAGTGGAAGCCAGGCTGCGATGGTCGAGTTGTGGACGACGATCAGTCGAGAGGAGGTGTGTTTCCAAATGTGTTCCAGATGTCTCAAGTTTGTTGGTGATATGTTCAGCAAGCGTCATGTTTAAAGCACGTCAACACATGTTTTTTCCCGGAAAGGGCGCAGGCCCAGGGTTCTCTTTTAGTAGGTAAACTTGTCCCCGGTGCCTCAACTGAGGTGGGCCGGCGGATTCTTTCCTTGATAAATATCGAGGTCGAGGTGGGCCGGCGGATTTGAATTTGAGGATGTCTCAGGTGAAACGCTTGTTTTGAAATCCCGATCGATAAATCACAGGGTGCGGGCCACCTCAGCACGACCACACCCCAGCACGACCACACCCCAGCACGACCACACCCCAGCACGACCCCACCCCAGCACGATCCCACCCCAGCACGACCACACCCCAGCACGACCACACCCCAGCACGACCACACCCCAACACGACCACACCCCAGAACGACCCGATCGATAAATCACAGGGTGCGGACCACCCCAGCACGACCCCACCCCAGCACGATCCCACCCCAGCACGACCACACCCCAGCACGACCCCACCCCAGCACGACCACACCCCAGCACGACCCCACCCCAGCACGACCCCACCCTAGCACGACACAC